GTTTATTTCAAAATATTTGACAGCTTATTTCCATTGACAGCTTATTTTCATTCTTCAAAAAATGTACGGAAGATGGTAGACAGAACCTACTACTACAATGATGAAGCACAATTAACTTATAAGGAGAAAGATGGTCTTATCACATTTTTTACTGATCTTGAGAATTACAATAACTATTATCGAATTCCTCAAAATTATGGTCCATATGTGGCACTAGTGCACGCGGTGTGCTACGGTAACATCAATGGAGATATCATGGTAAGATTTTCTTCTATTACGACATCTGTGCATCTTTTGCATAAATTTTTCTAAAACTAAACTACATTGCTAACTACAAAGTTATTACTATGTTTTTGAACAGAAAATCCTGATGGATTGTGTGCCTCATCTGATGTTGCCAAGAGGTCGCGTTGATGTTATGAGCTTACGGCCACCACGGCCAGGTCAAGCACAGTATCCACATCACTTCTGTCCATACCGGATTTCTAAAAGCGAGGAAGCCATGATAATAAATGATTGGAAAAATGTTTCAACCATCGTAGAGAGCTACTTGGAATCAACATTGAGCGTAGGCCAAGACTTGGAGACAGGATGATCTCCGTTCTTCATTATGGAGAGTTCAGTTTCCTTAACGAAGAGTCAATGCCTATCTTGTTTTATGATATTTTACCTAAGAGAGGGTAGAGTAGGTCCTGTGAGAGGAGTAGGTCCTAGGTAGAATGTGTTATTATGTGCTATAATGTGTTAGAGTTGATGAGGAGGATGAGGAGTTGTGATTATGACTAGTGACCAACTTGTTATATATATGATGTCTCATTGACGAACATTGTTTGGTTGTGATGACTACTGGTAATGAATATGCTATTTAAACAGACTAGTTCATGATGAGTTGTTACTGAATAAAATATATATCTATTTAAACATGTACAACGCCAAAATATTAAAAAAACATAAATGTTAGCAGTAGCGCTGGCCTAAAAACGTGCTACTAGTAGTTGAACTTACTAGTAGCGCTGGTCTAGAAACGCGCAACTGCTACAAAATAGCTGTAGCGCTATAGTAGTAGCGCTGGTCCCCGCGCTATTGGTAAGCTTTTCTCTAGTAGTGAACGATCAAGTGCTAAGCTAACGAAATGGGTCAAGTCAATCACATCATTCTCCTAATGGTGTGATCTCGTTAATCAAATGACAACTCATGTCTATGCACTACTAGGGAAAAGGCTAGCAGCAGCGCCGGTTTTTAGGCTATCAACAGCGAGGACAGCCGTGCTACCAATAAGGCGCTACAGCTAACTGTTACTAGTAGCGTGGGCTAAACCCGCGCTACTACTAAATGATTAGTAGTAGCGCGGGTGCACCCGCACTACTACTAAGCTAACACCCACGCTACAACTAACCTAACTACTAGTAGCGCTCACTTTTAACCCACGCTACTACTAACAATTTAGGAATTAACAAAAATAAAAGTTAGATGTGGTATTCATGAATGGTAATACGTCCATTGCAAAGCAAACCAATGTCACAGAACCATCTCAGGATTCCATTTAACATCAGACACACAACCATCATCGAAGTACCTCCCCTAGTGGTCCACCACCAACCTAAACAAATCACTTCTCTAGATGTATCTACCAAGGCTTGGAGTTCAGACGCCAATGTACCCGAATCCTCCTTCCCCCGGACGATGGGGTCGAGGACCTCCACCTCGAAGACCTCCGGTGTCAAAATCACCTGGACGTTCATCTGTTCGACGTGGCCACCGTGCTTCACAGCAACGCCCACCGGGCCACGCTAGTCAGCGTCGATCACTCCTGCGCCCACGTCGGGAAAGTGAAAACTTGTTAGTACGCAAATTGCATCAGTTAAACTAAATAGTATATTACAATTCACAGACCCATTAAGTTAAGATTCCTTATCATCTAGCAATTTAAAGGGGCTCATGCCGAATATATATGCCTAATTCCTCAGTTCTTATTCAAACTAAATATATAGATTTGGCAAATGCATAGAAAAACATAAAGTCCAAAAGAAACACAGAAATGCATATGTGAACTAAATTACTTTGTGTCTTAGGAGATTTCTTGTTAGGTTATTCACTATATATAGTAGCACATCAGGCAGGGTGATGTGTTTACTTCGCGCCGTAATGTTTGGCACCAAGTTCAGTATTGGAAGACAAATACAATACATTGCTGGGCGGGACAAGGCAAAGAAAAATGCAGAAATTTGTAGTTACTAAATCATTAGCATTAATCAGTGCCTTCTGTCGCGGGGTTCATGTGTAAACTGATTTCAAGTATGTTCTTGCAAGCTACAAAGATGTTAAGAATTACTTGCAATCTGGTTTTTGCAAGCCACAAAGTTGTTCAGAATTACTACTTATCTAGTAGTACAAATGTTGAAAACAGATTATGAACTAGTCCAGACTCTACATACACGTATGTGATGAGCATTGAAGCATTCACTCTCCCAGGCTGTTTAGGATCATCAACCTAGTGGATGTCGTCCGGTAATAGAGGAAGTGCATCCTATATAAGGCACCCAAGAAAAAGCTAAGTGATGGCTACTGTTTTCTCAGGCAGGGTGTACAAATTTAACAAAAATGAAAGTGCACTAGCACTATAGAGTCCGGTATATCCAGTTGCTAGGGCAAGTACTAAGGTCTAAGATGATATGCTACTAAATGAACTTTTTTGCTGTTGCTCATGGACATAGACATGAGCAAGCACATGGAAGGGCCATGAACCTATGCAAAGCATCAATTGTTTTCAGCTCCATGGCAACATGTCCAGTGGAAATCAAGATACTACCCACTTGCACAACTGAATCTACCATGCGCATGCGGGAGGCTATAGCTTCCTCAAAAAACAAGTAAAGAAGAGCATCATGGTTTCCTCACCCAAATACATTGACCCACTCGCCATCTGCCTTCCCTTCGCTGGCCGGAGCCATCGGCTCCGTCCTGGCAGCCTCCGTCGCCGGGGTCATAGAGAATAGAATGGTCCGTGGCTCTGCATGAACATATCTCTGATAGAATTACATATGAAGAAAGCATCACTCCTGGCAATTTCATCAAGAAAAGGGAAGTTAGCTAACTTATAGGGGAAACAAAACATCAAGATTCTAACTGAACAAAAGGAAACCTAGTCCAACTGCACATTTTTTTAGAACAGGAGGATGACCCCTGTCCAACGGCGCGTAGGCCTAGTGGAATTTTATTCAAGGACCAGACAAGAGCATCTTTCAGTTTACTACAATATGTAATTTAAATAGTACAAAGCAAACAACTATAAAATGAAAAGTGAACTATGATCCAATATTGTGCAGAATATTAAAATGAAGGTGGATTTTTTCATATTCGAGTTTTTCTTAATAGTAACTTAAAAAATAAATGAATATATGCATAAGGTAGATTTTCACATGCAACCTGTGGTAGTTTTAGTTTGTGCCGGCTTCAGTTGTCACTCCAAACCTCTATTTCTTTTGTGGGCAACTCAAAATTGTTTACAATCCGTTATCTGCAAAAAATAAAATGGACTGAACTGAGTTAAAATAAACACATTACATGAACAGGCCAACAAGCCATGCCGCGCAATGATCTGTTCATCACAGAGCGTAGAACCATTCACGGGGCAGCCATTCAACAGCAAATATATAGAGATTGATCCATCATCCAACACATTGATCCGCTACGAAATTACCACATGATAATATGATGATATTCACATGAACACAACAACAGGCCTGTCATACACACACATACTACTTAATGGTTCATTCAATAATAGTTCATGAACTAGTAATAATTCCCAATAATAGTCAGCAGCTAGAGGAAGGACACCACAAATAGGTGGAATCCCAGCAAACCTAATGGTTCATTCAACTCAACTCTGCTTTGAACAAAGTTGGCCTCATTTAAATAAGAAGAATTGGAGAAGCGGACTTTCAGATCTACAGTACATACATTGGGCCTGTTCGTGGGGTGACGCTGGCTGTAAATCCAAGTTCAGTACATGAAACACTCACTAGTCACTAGTTTGAGCTCACGTAACAAGCCAAGGGTTGAGTTTAGCTTTGTCACTTGAATGAGTCATGCATGAGCAACAACTTCTCATCCTCACTTGAGTGACCAATGCACAAGATTAACAGTTAGCTACAAACAGTAATGCAGATATAAAAGAAAAAGGCACCGATCGATTCGTATAGGCTCTTTGTCACTAAGTTAAATGCACACAAGTTATCTTAATGGTCAAAAGTTCGTTGGTATAGTCTAAACACTAAAGAAAATATATGGTCCTCATGCATCAAGGCTTACACAGTTACACTCAAATATTTTGAATTAAATAACCTATCTGGCCGGTAGCACCATCTCAAATTAACCAACTTGGAAAGACATGAGCACGTGTAGCAGCAGTTTTGTTTGGTTCGAGAGAGGCCATCCACTTTCCAGTGTGTAGAGGGTTAGCAGCATTTTGGTTCCTTGACAACTTGACATGTAGCAGAACCAATAGTGGTCATGAACTGGAGCTTGGGCAGTAGCATCAGACGCATGCAGGCACTGACGATTGAAGGTTGGACAAGACACATGCAAGCACCGGCGACTGGTGTCTAACAAAGTTTATGTAGCCAGAGCGCTATTCCCGCAACACAAAAACGCTATAGCGCCCGCAATATCGCTCTGACACACGCAATAGCGGATGAATCATGCCAAAGCCGCCATATCATAATGCAACACAAAAGAGATAGTGCTAGGGGAGTGCTACCGCAATAGCGGCCGCAATAGCGGGGGTAGCAGCCGCTATTTGAAACCTTGAATCACACTAAACTGGATCCTAATGAGCCCTTGTAAGCGTGAGCATTGTAAATGCCAGATTTGCTGCCAATCTGCCTGGTTGCTAGTCGTAAACGTGTACCCCTAATCTACAAAGTTCCGATCCTAACTAGCTGAAAAAGATTCAGTTCAGAAGAAGCAGAGGAGGAGGAGTTGACTGTCAGTCAGACTCAGAGCGCAGCGGTACCTTCGCCGAGGGTGAACCTGAATGGGGCGTCGCGATCCCGGCTGGAGTCGAACTTGGTGCCATCCGCCAGCGTCCCTGTGTAGTGCACCGTGGGACAAACGAAGAACCAAGTCAACGCCCAAGTCAACCCAATCGAACCCATCCACGCCGGAGAAGCAGCGAGCGAGGAGGGCGCGTTACCTTCGACCTCGTCGCCGGTGCCGGGGAGCTGCGGCCCCTCCCCCTCCCTGACCAGCCTCTTCCGCAGCCCCTCCTTCCCGATCCCCCTCTCCCCCCGCCTTCATCGCCGCGACGGCGTACTGCTCGTCGACCTCCTCCTACTCCTCTGCGGGGGCGGGGGCCGCGCCGGCGTAGAGGCTCTTCATGGCCTCCTCGTCCTCGTCATCGCCGGATCCGGCCATGGCGTCATAGCCACCGGCCCTCGGGAAGCCGGCCATGCCGTTTGGAGAGGAGAGGAGGTGGAAGGAGGCCGCGGTGGAGGGGATCTGGATCAGGGACGCGATGGAGGAGGAGCTGGCGCCGTGGCGGGCGTGCACGTGTCCGGCGGAAGGGGGCCGGGGCCGGCAGCGGCGCGAGATGGGGAGCGGCGGGCGCGCGGCTGCCGCCGTGGCGCATGCAGCGGGGTCCATGGGGGCTAACGGATGGAGGAGAGGAGGTGGAAGGGAGGCCGGCGGCGAGTGAGTTGGGAGAGGAGAGGAGGTCGGGGATTCGGGCTGCGTGTTTTTTTTCTGAGACAGACGGGGGGTTGGTTGTGTGGGACGGTTGGTGTGGTGGGAGTGTGGACCGGGCCGGGGTGGACACGCTTAGTAGTAGCGTGGGGGTCTTACCTGCGCTACTACTACTTTTTACTAGTAGCGCCGGTTTATACCCCTCGTTACTACTATGGCCTATCCCGGGGGTATTGTTGGAGACCATTTAGTAGCAGCGCGGGTTTATAACCCTCGCTACTACTATCAACTTAGTAGTAGCGCGGTTTTTATACCCCCGCTACTACTAATTAGCAGTAGCGCCCATTTTTAAACCGCGCTACTGATAAACTTCTGTGTATAAGGTTTTTCCTAGTAGTGATGGCTAGGAAACTCAACCATCTTTGATTTAACGAGCTAGTCAAGTAGAGGCATACTAGTGACATTATGTTTGTCTATGTATTCACACATGTACTAAGTTTCCGGTTAATACAATTCTAGCATGAATAATAAACATTTATCATGAAATAAGGAAATAAATAATAACTTTATTATTGCCTCTAGGGCATATTTCCTTCACCACGCGGGTGCAGAGCGCAGGTTTCCTCTTCGGTGCAAGGGAGGCAAGCCACATGCGCGGAGTCTCGAGGAATCAGCCAAAGGTTTCCATTCTGGTGCAACAAGACCAAGACCGCCAGGACGGCAGGATGCAGGTCATGACCGAGCCCACCGCAGCGTCATGACTAGAGGCTTTTCGTAGGCGAAGACTACTTTTGTCAGGATAGACTGTACTACCTGTCCCCTTTCAAATCCCGCCGTTATGGAATCCCTTCTCGCTCATATTTGGGAAGAGGACCAAGGCCACTATATATAGGACTAGCCACCAACATAGGAGGGGGACCGAGATCAGAACAAGCGGAACACCACACCAGCTCAAGAACACCTCACCTCCTGAGGCTTGTTCATCCATTGTACTAGTTCATCCATAGCCCCTCGAGGCAATCCACCACAGCACACTGGATTAGGGTATTACACCACAATGGTGGCCCGAACCAGTATAAATCTCTATGTCTTTGTGTCTCTTGAGCTCGACACGCTAGGCTAGGGAGGATCGCGAGTAGGCAGGCTAGGCAGGTTGAGATCTCCGCACGCACCCTAGAGTTTGAACCTCTCAAGGGTTGGCGGATCCGTAAATCCGACCGGAGGAATGTGAGATGATTCATACCAGGAAGGATGGATGAATTCTAGCATACATTCAGGAGATGGATCAGCATATTCGTCGATATGAGAACCAGATGTGCTGTATCACATGAAGAAGACCAAGAAGCTGATGAAGAGGAATATCAAGCTAGAAGAGGAATTCAAGTCAACACGCGATGGATACGAAGAAGAAATTGTTGTGCTACTGGAGAAGCATGAAGACCTAAAGAAGAAGCTAGGAATTCCTGTGGTGAACCAGAAGCAAGAACCTGAACTGGTGATCCGTTCGGAGGACTACATCATCTTGGACAACACCGACACGGACAGTGATGCAAATGATGACAGCGATGACGACTACATAGACGAAGCTGGAGCAGATATTATGGAGTCTTCCACCGATCAAAATTACTAGACGACCACCATGTTATTAGTAGTATTCTTCCAAGTAGTTAGCATCAATCGATTTGTAATCATAGTTTAGACCGTTTGTGTGAACCTTGTTTGATATTTTAAATTGATTGTATTTGCCTCATGTGCATATGGGTAGTGAAATATCTCTTAGACCTTACTCTATTCTGTTTTCTCACCCCCTCTAACCCATTAGATGCCTCCGAGACATGACACTGGATTCATTTTCCTGCCGGAGCTCACCCAGTTGATTAAGCAGCAGAATGCCTTGATGCAGATGTTAGTCCAGAACCAGAATCAGAATCAAGGTAAAAACAACAACAACCCACCGCCACCACCCCATGTTGACAACCTAGCCCGCTTTCTGAGGATGAATCCGCTGGTGTTTTCCAGCAGCACCGAGCCAATTGTTGCACATGATTGGCTCCACAAGATTGGAAGAAAGCTGACCACTGCTGGATGCACAAATGCGGAGAGAGTGCGCTTTGCCGCGCATTGACTTGATCGACCCGCAACATCTTGGTGGGAGAATTTCACCACCACTTACCCAATTGCTACAATTACATGCACTACTAGGGAAAAGCCTATACACAGGATCTTACCAGTAGCAAGTTTTAAAATAAGGCGCTGCTGCAATTTATCAGTAACGCGCTCCACCAGAACTCGCTGCTGAAAGAAAAGTAGCAGTAGCGTGCCACCTCTAAGCCATACTACTGTTATAATTCCCACGACCCCGCCACGGAGCTAGTTATAGCAGCAGCGCGTTAACTAGAAGGGTGCTACTGCTAGGTAGTTTAGTAGTAGCGCCTTTACGTACACCACGTTACTGCTAAAAGTAGCTATCTCACCACCCACACGCTCTCCTCTCTATCCGATCCACACTCACACTCACACTCACTCGATCTCCCACTCAACCCCCCGCGCCGGTCCTCCCCGTCGGCCGTTGTCGCCTACCCCTCCTCCCTCTGCGCCGCCGTCACCTCCTCCTCCTCGCTAGACTCGGTACCGCCCTCCTCCTCCGTCCTCCCTCGACTCACCCCCGGCCGGTGCTACCTCTTGAGCACTGCGTTGGTTTTCCCCGAAGAGGAGAGGATGATGCAGTAAAGTAGCATAAGTATTTCCCTCAGTTTTTGAGAACCAAGGTATCAATCCAGTAGGAGACCATGCACAAGTCCCTCGTACCTACACAAAACGATAGCTACTCGCAACGAACGTGATTCGGGGTTGTCAATCCCTTCACGGTCACTTACGAGAGTGAGATCTGATAGAGATGATAAATAATATTTTTGGTATTTTTGATAGATAGATGCAAAGTTAAAAGTAAAAGACAAAGTAAAAACAAAGCAAGTAAATAAAGTGATAGAGATTGATATGATGAGAATAGACCCGGGGGCCATAGGTTTCACTAGTGGCTTCTCTCAAGAGCATAAGTATTCTACGGTGGGTGAACAAATTACTGTTAAGCAATTGAAATAATTGAGCATAGTTATGAGCATATCTAGGCAATGATCATGTATATAGGCATCACGTCCGAGACAAGTAGATCGAAATGATTCTGCATCTACTACTATTACTCCACTCATCGACCGCTATCCAGCATGCATCTAGAGTATTAAGCTAAAAACAGAGTAACGCCTTAAGCAAGATGACATGATGTAGAGGGATAAATTCATGCAATATGATAAAAAACCCATCTTGTCATCCTCGATGGCAACAATACAATATGTGCCTTGCAACCCTTTCTGTCACTCGGTAAGGACACCGCAAGATTGAACCCAAAGCTAAGCACTTCTCCCATTGCAAGAACTACCAATCTAGTTGGCCAAACCAAAAAGGATAATTTGAAGAGACTTGAAAAGATAACTCAATCATACATAAAAGAATTCAGAGAAGATTCAAATATTTTCCATAGATAATATTGGATCATAAACCCACAATTCATCGGTCTCAACAAACACACCGCAAAAAGAAGATTACATCGAATAGATCTCCACGAGATAGGGGGAGAACATTGTATTGAGATCCAAAAAGAGAGAAGAATCCATCTAGCTACTAGCTATGGACCCGAAGGTCTGAAGTAAACTACTCACACTTCATCGGAGGGGCTATGGTGTTGATGTAGAAGCCCTCCATGGTAGATGCCCCCTCTGGCGGAGCTCCGAAACAGGCCCCAAGATGGGATCTCGTGGATGTAGAAAGTTACGGCGGTGGAATTAGGTTTTTGGCTCCTCTTCTGATCTGTCGGGGGGTACGTAGGTATATATAGGAGGAAGGAGTACGTCGGTGGAGCACTAGGGGGCCCACGAGGTAGGGGCGCGCCCAGGGGGGCGCCCTCCACCCTCGTGACCGCCTCTGGCACTTCTTGGAGTAGGGTCCAAGCCTCCTGGATCACGTTCGGTGAGAAAATCACGTTCTCGAAGGTTTTATTATTCCATTTGGACTCCGTTTGATATTTCGTTTCTTCGAAACACTGAAATAGGCAAAAAACAACAATTTTGGGTTGGGCCTCCGGTTAATAAGTTAGTCCCAGAAATAATATAAAAGTGGAAAATAAAGCCCAATATAGTCCAAAAACAGTAGATAAAGTAGGATGGAGCAATCAAAAATTATAGATACGTTGGAGACGTATCAGGCATCCCCAAGCTTAATTCCTGCTCGTCCTCGAGTATTTAAATGATAAAAAAATTGATGCGGAGTGATACTTTGGCATAATTTCAATGTAAAACTTCTTAATTGTGGCATGAATATTCAGATCCGAAAGATTCAAGATAAAAGTTCATATCAACATAAAAAGTAATAATACTTCAAGCATACTAATCAAAGCAATTATGTCTTCTCAAAATAACATGGCTAAAGAAAGTTATCCCTACAAAATCATATAGTCTGGCTGTTGCTCTATCTTCATCACAAAAAGTATTTAATCATGCACAACCCTGATGACAAGTCAAGCAATTGTTTCATACTTTAGTAATCTCAAACTCTTTCAACTTTGACGCAATACTTGAGCGTAAGCCATGGACATAGCACTATAGGTGGAATAGAATGGTGGTTGTGGAGAAGACAAAAAGGAGAAGATAGTCTCACATCAACTAGGCGTATCAACGGGCTATGGAGATGCCCATCAATAGATATCAATGTGAGTGAGTAGGGATTGCCATGCAATGGATGCACTAGAGCTATAAGTATATGAAATCTCAACGAAAGAAACTAAGTGGGTGTGCATCCAACTTGCTTGCTCACGAAGACCTAGGGCACTTTGAGGAAGCCCATCATTGGAATATACAAGCCAAGTTCTATAATGAAAAATTCCCACTAGTATATGAAAGTGACAAAAT